GCGACGCGATCTCACCCGCCGTTTTGTTCCGGACTCGATTTCATAACTCATTGTTATAATATACTTTGTCGTCTTATTTATTTTCAAATATGGTGTACGTCCATTGTGGTTTTGTAGATACAGAAATAGATTATTTCTTGTTATGGTACTCTTAAGTTCAATATAATTATTTGTGTGTGTATAGTCATGTGTAGAGTTACTAGGTGAAGAAGTAAAACGCCGCGTGCTCGGTGTCCACGGTGTTCATAATATGTACCTACTGCACTGCAGTCGTAAATCAATCATTTTGTAAATATTAACAGGCAAGTGTGGGAAAAGGATTATGTATCGCGGGAACATTGTTATACGTCTAAGGATACTCTTTGTATTGTATTTAATGTAAGGATCATGATTAAAAGACCGTCCGGTCGCTCCGAGAATATGAGATTTTTATTTCTGTGTAAAAGTCCAAGTTCTAATCAAGTTCTCTAGGTCTATGTAATGTGCTATAAGCTCAACGTATAGACATTTTCTTTGTATAGGAGTTTATTTAATTCTTAATAAAAACCTGGTAAGACATACAGGATGTCAATGAATGCAGGTGGCTTTGGCTTGGGACTGTTCTTTGTGACATTTCTTGGGGGAGGCCTATGTTCAGCAGTGGACTTGTAGAGGGCTGTAATGATGATGATGATGATAATCGGATTTCAAAAAATGTGAAGATTTCAATTTGGCCATTTTGTATATACATTTACACGATAGCTTTCTTGTGACCCTAGGTTATAAGTGTGTGACATTTCGTTCAATTGCCCATTCTCTCAGCTTATTCACTCCCCTGAAAAAAGCAAAAAGAAGAGTAAGTTTTAACAGTGATTACAATCCTCTCAATGAACATCTCACAAACATCTGAGGTTTGCACTGTAATCTCAACGCAGTTCACTACCACTTTAAGACTGCTGCACTTACTATTGAATGAGACGCAAGGCAAAAGTCCTCTTGATACGGTGTACCTTGGCTACGCTGAGTACACATTAGAGCATAACTTACACCAGTGCCTCGAAGTCCGCAACCTCATCAACCAAGCGGTCAGGGGGTCTTAACCCCATACGTCGTTTACGTTACACCTCTGTAGGTTTTTCCGCCCTATTACAATCTCGGTGTAGTGAATAGGCTTTTGTTATGCTAAGACTACGATTTATTATATACGGCTTCATCACCAGTTACCATCAGGGGGTATTGTTGTAATCAAACACAGGCAAGCATAGTTTATAAGCGAAAGTTAGAAGAATGTAATTTATTTTAGTTTCTTCGTATGTTATATAAATTTTTGGTATATTATTACAACTTATAGTTGCGCTGCTTCTAGCTCATGTGTTATGAAATAATTAGAAAAGTGAAGTAAGACTATAAGGGTAAAAGACTGTAGTAATAGATAAATATTCCAAGCGTATGGTTATCTTTACGTTACTGATAGATAACTTGCACGAATCTTACTACAGTTATGGGTTCTCCAACGCATATTTCGCTGTCACATAGATGTTGACCATTTATATTATATTGATCGCTTAGTGGCGGTGTAAGAATCACCTACCCCGTATCGTTCCGTGGATGTCGTGAGAGACGAAAGAGGGAAACAAACCAAATGATGGGCAGCAGCGCCTTTGTAATAAGATAACTTGCACGAATCTTACTACAGTTATGGGTTCTCCAACGCATATTTCGCTGTCACATAGATGTTGACCATTTATATTATATTGATCGCTTAGTGGCGGTGTAAGAATCACCTACCCCGTATCGTTCCGTGGATGTCGTGAGAGACGAAAGAGGGAAACAAACCAAATGATGGGCAGCAGCGCCTTTGTAATAACGCCTGGCAAGCTTGACAAATATTGCAAGTATCCCCCCTGTGAGGCAAGCTATGAGTGAGGCTTATGATCAGCAGCGGACTTTTGGTAGGCTGTAACGGTAACGACATATTATAGTGACGACTGAAAAACGTCCAAAGAAAGCATGAAATAAAGCACAACTCTCTCGTTAGAAAGTAATAATTATGTGCTCCAGATCGAATTTCAGTCACGGCGGCCAGTCTCCACGGAGACTAGACATCTGCGCAGGGCAGGATTATAGTGTCCGAGCGTTTACGCAAGCACACCTACTCCGTAGTCCCTCTCTCATATTCCGATGGGACGGTAAACCGACACGACCGGAGATAAATCAGGCGCAGACTAATGGCTTTATGCGCTTTCCGCAGCACGGGGGTGACTCCAGATTGATTGCTACTGAGAGTTTCTTGCCAGAAATACCCTAAAACTGATTTCGACTCAACCCGGCATTCGAACCCGGGACCTCAAGATCATTAGTCGCGTTCACGAGCGCTAGGCCAACGCGGTAGGCAGTTAGAGAGTAGTGTATTCCTTGCAAAATCGTTTTCCGTGCCCGAGCGAAGTGCACTCGAGAGTCGAGACGCTCGTCATCGTGGCTCTCACGCACTCTAGCTTACGAATACTTGACACGCCAACTCCGCGATATAGATGGAGAAACTTCTTAGGACAAAAGAACACAAGACGAGAATTGCCTTTTATGAATGCAAACTTTATTTTTTGTACTTATTTGAAACGGTACGAAGGAAACGAAAAATGTACTGAAATTAAATTTCAAGCGTAACAAGCATTAAGTCTACTTGTAAAATAATACAAATGAATATACATTAGATCTCATAAAACAGGTTAAATATTGGTCTCCATTGGTATCGCCGCATAAAGCAATCGGCAATCTACTACCCGTGGGTTTCGTAAGTGTCAAGATGATGTTTATAAAACTACCTACTTACTAACACTTATCAGAGACCTTAACAGGTTTATCTGTTAAGGTCTCTGATAAGTGTTGAACTTTGACGGCTCCGTAGCGCAGTGGCTAAGCGTTTGGTAGCGGAGCCGCAGAGCGCGCCGGGTTTGAACCCATACGAATCAAGCGTTTATACGGCCTATTAAATTATTGTTCTGGGTCTTGGTGTGTCCTTGTACAATATATGTATATGAACCGCTGCTCGGAACGCCGAGCAGTAAGCGTAGAGCACCGTATTATCATTGTGTCTACACCTGCGCGCTGTTGCTTTTGCTCCGCATCACCAGTGTGTAGACTTTCGGTTCGGGGTATTCGAATGGTTCCGCAATCTTATTGCTTCTAATAGATGGCGGTAATACAAATCACGGTAATGTGGTGAAGGACCACGAGGATACGGGCCTCTCGTTGTAGGCATGATTTGCCTAAATCACGCTTGGCGATTGCAGTACCAGTCGTCTCGCACCTGTGATTCCGCTCCACGTCGACTAGATGTCTAGATATCTCACACCAAGCATATAGAGATGGTTATACTACTGTATTTCGGAATACCTACAGATTTTTCTGATATATCCCACAGTTGTCTCTTACTACAACCACGGGACGAAATGGGGAGATAGATTCTTATACACCGCCACCAGTCTACACCAATGTACCTAATCCCAATGATGAAAGCAGCAGCAAGCAGCGTCAAAGGTAGGTACATGGTCTTATGCCGCGACCGCCATGCGTGTTGATAATGTCAAATTCCGCCCTTAAGTGAAGGCACATTCTAACACTCGTCAGTGTGTGGCACACGAGGGGAGGAAAAGCTTGAAAGTATGTAATAGAATGAGACATGAAGTTTTATAATAAGGAGCATCGCATATTGGTAGGAGAAGAGACCTTATGCTTCTCGTCATTTACTAATGAAATAATACCGAAAGTGTACCTACCGTTTATCATCCAGTAAATTTCACAACTGCCTCACTCGTGGTAAGGACAGAATAAGTATATAATATCAATGGAACGCCTGGGAATATACGAGCAGCAATCTTTTACAAAGGAGCCGCTTGCTCTGATGTAATGCCTACGTTACTTACACTGCTTTATGCACCAAGAGTAAGAGTATTAGACAAACAGCCAGCCCGCTTGCCAAGTATTAGGATTATAGCAATTGTCCATCCAGCTCTGATCTTACGAGTATGTAAGATAGACGTTAGTGCATTATTAAAAATATGTCTTGCTTGATGCCTACTCAATGTGATTCGTAAAATGAACAAAGGCTAGGATGGAGAAAAAAATCATATTTTAAACACGATTTTGACGGTCAAGAATTTATACTTTTTGAAATAGTATATTGTGCTCGATATATGTGTCACAGTCAAAACTCATAACCGGTCAAAACCACTTTTGCCTGTAAATATCAGGCAATAATGGTTATATGTCACAGTCAAAACTCATAACCGGTCAAAACCACTTTTGACTGTAAATATCAGGCAATAATGGTGTTGACCGATACCCTTACCCCTTAGTCAAAAATAGTTTTGAGTGATTTTTGTAGCCAAAAGTGGTTCTGACCAACGTTCTTAGTCAAAAGTAATTTTGCCTCATTTAAATTTTATACCATCGGTGAAAACTCGCAGTATCGTTTACAGTAGGATAACGCGCTTAAAAGCACACGATGTTGACACATTACAATAATATAAAATATAATATTAAAAGAATATGTAATTAAAACTTTTTTAATTTTAAAAATTTTAAATTTTAAAAAGTATAAGTCAAATGTAGTTTTGACTCACATTCTTTGTCAAAACCACTTTTAACCGATATAATTTGATCAAAATCTCTTCTCTATTACCCAATATTTTTGTAGTTAAAAGTTGTTTTGACCAACGTCCATAGTCAAAACTACTTTTGACTGCAAAAATCAGTTAAAAGTGGTATTGACCAACGTTCTTAGTTTAAACTACTTCTGCCTGATTTTTGCAGTCAAAAGTGGTTTTGACCGGTTATGAGTTTTGACTGTAACATATATTGAATGGATTTTTAAAGATTCGAATGTTTGTTTTAAGCTATAGGCATTTTTATTTTACGATAATTATTGAATTAGATTCTTTATCGGCACAGAGCAGAGCCGCCGGCGGATTGGAGGGGAATAGCCATACGCAGGCGTTCCCCTCTGTCAGAGTATAAGTCCA